GAGATAATATTACTTCCTCCTTTTCATTTGAATACCCTTTATTTCCTTTTTTTGTCTGATCGTTTTGGCTAGAACTCCCAGTGCTACACTGAATAGGAGTGGTGAGGGTGGGCATCTGCTTGGTTTCTGGTCGTAGGGGAAAAGCTTTCAGTCTGCCACCACTGAGTATGATGTTCATTGTGGGCTTGTCATATACGACCTTCATTATGGTGAGGAAATTTTCTTCTATTCTTAATTTATTGCAGGTTTTTTTTCTTTAATCAAGAAAGAGTATTGAATCTTGTCAAATGCCTTTTCTGCACCATTGGAGATGATTGTGATGTGTGTCTGTGTTTTACTTCATTCTATTAATGTAACGTATTACATTGATGGATGATCATATGTTGAGCCATCCTGCTCTTCTGCTGTATAATCCTTTTAATGTGCTGTTGAATTCAGTTTACTAGTATTTTGTTGAGGATTTTGGCATCAGTATTTGTAAGAGATATTGGTCTGTAGTTGTCTTGTACCCTTGTCTTGTTCTGGTATCAGGGTAATGCTGGCCTCATGGAATGCGATAGGAAGTATTCCCTCCTCTCTGTTTTTGGAAGAATTGTAGAAGTATTGCCACTTAAATGTTTGGTTGAATTCGCCAGTGGAGCCATCTGCTCCTGGGCTTCTGTTCGTTAGGACAGTTTTGATTTCTAATTTAATCTCCTTGCTAGTTAGAGGTCCATTCAGATTTTCTCTGTATTTGTGTTTTGGTTTGTGTGTTTTTAGGAATTTGTCCGTTTCATCTCATTTGTCCAATTTGTTGGCTTACAAATTTTCATAGTATTCTTTTGTAATCCGTTTTATTTCTGTGTAATTGGTAGTCTTGTCCCTACTCTTATTTCTGATGTTAGTAACTTGAGTCTTTTTTCTTTGTGGTCTAGCTAATAGTTTGTCAATTTCTTGATCTTTCCAAAGAACCAAGTTTTGCTTTTTTTTTTCTATTTTCTATTGCATTTATCTTTGCTCTAATCTTTATTATTTCCTCCTTTCTGCTATTTTCTGTCTAGTTTGCTCTTCCCTTCCTGCTTCCTTAAGGTGTAACATTAGGCTGTTGACTGGAGATCTCTCTTCTATTGTAAAATTTGCATTTCAGCCTAAATGTCCTCCTCCGAACTGCTTTCCTAAGACCCCTTAAGTTTTGGTGTGTTGTATTTTTCTTTTCAGTTGTCTCAAGATGTTTTCTCATTTCATTTGTGATTTCTTCTTTTGATCCATTGTTTCACTTTCACATGCGGATTTTCCAGTTTTCCTTCCGTTACTGATTTCTGACTTTATTCCATGTGATCAGAAAAGACCCTTTGTATGATTTCAGTCTTTTAAAATATATTATGACTTGTTTTGTAGCCAGACTTGTTTTGCGGTCTGTCCTGGAGAATTTTCTGTGGGCACTTGAGAAGAATGTGTCCAGGCCCACCTCAGAGCTGTCGTGGGTTTGGTTCCAGACAGTAAATAATTGTTCCAGCACAAAAACGAATATCGCAGTCAAGTGAGTTCAGTGAATTTCTCGGTTTCCCATTGCGTATAAAAGTTACGTTTACGCCGTACTGTGGCCTATGAAGTGTGCAGTAGCGTATGCCCAACAGTGTACGTCCCCTGATTAAGAAGACTTTACTGCTGAAAAATCCTACCAATCATCGGAGTTTTCAGCAAGTCATAATCACTGATCACAGGTCGCCATAACAACTAATAATGAAAAGGTTTGAAGAATGAGAAGTTTAAATTGTGAGAATTATCAAAACGTGGCACAGAGGGGTGCCTGGGTGGCTCAGTTGGTTAAGCGTCTGCCTTCGGCTCAGGTCATGATCCTGGAGTCCCGGGATCGAGTCCCGCATCGGGCTCCCTGCTCGGCGGGGAGTCTGCTTCTCCCTCTGACCCTCACCCCTCTCATTCTCCCTCTCTGTAATTCTCTCTCAAAAATAAATAAAATTAAAAAAAAAAAAAAAACGTGGCACAGAGATATGAAGCAAACAGATGCTGATGGAAAAGTGGCACCAACTGACTCACTCTTGGCGCAGACCTTCGGTTTGTGGAAACACGGCGTCCGCGATGCGCCTGTTCCGTTGGGTGGACTGTCCGTGTCCATGTGTCCGTGTGTGTCCGTGTGCGCGTGAGAGCTGTGGTTGGTTTACACTGCAGCTCAGCCCTGCAGTTCCCTCTATGCTGCCTGTTATGAAAGTGGGGTCCTGACGCCTCTAACTATTCTTATTATTCATTATTACTAGATCTTTACTATTATTTGGGGGCTCTGATATTTGGTGCAGGCGTGTGTTTGATGTTCTTGCTGAATTGACCCTTTTATTAACATAGGATGTACTTCTGTGTCTCTTGTACCCGTCTGTGGTGCAAAGTCTCTTGTGTTCTGTTCGTGGAGCCCCTCGCCCTTTCAGCTGCTCCCCTGCTCTCACTCTCAGCCTGTTTGTGTCTTTGGATCGGAGTCTTTTGGAGACGGCATATGGTTGGATTATATTTTTTAATCCTGAGAGGGACGAGAGCTCTGCTTCCCCTCCATTCCTGCCCCAGCACTCATAGTCCTGAGGCCCCCTGACACTGCTGGTCGCCAGATGTGTGGTCTCCCCTCCACGCAGCCACTCTCCGACACCAGCTGTGGGTCTCCGACACCGTCTCCCTGGGGAAGGCCTCCAGCCCCACCTGGCAGGGGCTCAGTCCTGTACGGCGCCCCCACCGCAGATGCCAGTCGCCAGGCTGGCTGCCACTGTGCTGCTGATGGGCTGGCTGTACCCCGAGGGCCCCAGGACCCCAGTTTTTGGTTCAGTCATTCACTGCAGCTCACAGAACCTGGGAAGACATTTTCGGTACTGTCGCCGATTGATTACAGAGGACATTTCAAAGGATACAAGTGACCCTCCACACAGAGGAGACACGGCAAAGTATGTGGGAGGGGACACAGAGCTTCCATGTCCCTGCCGAGCGGACCACCTTCCCAGCTCCTCTGTGTGCTCAGCAACCAGGCAGCTCTTCAAACTCCATCCTTTTGGGTTTTTAGGCAGGTTTTTTTTGTTTTGTTTTGTTTTGTTTAATGTAGGCACGATTAATTAAATCACTGGCCCTTGGTGGTCTATTCAGCCTCCAGCCCCGCTCCCTTCCCTAGAGGTCAGCGTTGGGTGGGACTGAAAGCTCCAAGCCTCTAACCATGTGCTTGGCTTCACTGGCAACCGGCTCGCATCCTGTGGTTGTTTAGGGGCTTTCAGAAAACCACCCCATTCACACAAAGTCCGATGAGGCTGAAAGGGGCTTGTTATGAGCAACGAAAGGCACCCTTCCCCTTCATGGCTCATCACTTAGGAAATTCCAAGGGTTTTAGGAGCTCTGTGCCAGGAATTGGGACGAAGACCAAATATATATTTCTGACATTAAATCACAATATCACAAATCCATTTTTTTTTTTAAAGATTTTATTCGTTTGACAGAGAGAGACAGTGAGAGATAGTGAGAGCAGGAACACAGTGGGGAGTGGGAGAGGGAGAAGCAGGTTTCCCGCCGAGCAGGGAGCCCGATGCGGGGCTCGATCCCAGGACCCTGGGACCATGACCTGAGCCGAAGGCAGACGCTTAACAACTGAGCCACCCAGGTGCCCCTCACAAATCCATTTTGCCAATCTGTGTCTTTAATTACTGATACCGAATAACTCGTTTCTACCTTTCTGCTATTGTTTTCTGATGTCTTACAGATTTTTGTCCTTCATCCACTACTGCCTTCTTTCATGTTTGTTTGACTTTCTTTAGTAACACATTTTGATTTCCTTGTCTATATTCCATGGATATTTTCTTAGTGGTTACCATAAGAATTACACATAACATCCTAAAGTCATAACCATCTAATTGAATGGATAGCGAGTTAACTCCAATCACATACAAACAGTCTCCTCCTATGTAGCTGTGCCCAACCCCGTCCATCGGCCGCCACAGGTGGGGGGGGGGGCAGCGCACCTGTTCAGGTAGTTGATGCTGTGGAATCAGGACTCTCCCTTGGGGATCCTGGGCTCCCCAACAACCACTAACCCCCCTGGTCTTTAGAGGCCTGTCATTCTAAAGAACATTCTTTTTTTTTTTTTTTAAGATTTTATTTATTTATTTGTGAGAGAGAGAATGAGAGAGAGAGAGCACATGAGAGAGGGGAGGGTCAGAGGGAGAAGCAGGCTCCTCGTTGAGCAGGGAGCCCGATGCGGGACTCGATCCCAGGACTCCAGGATCATGACCTGAGCCGAAGGCGGCCGCTCAACCAACTGAGCCACCCAGGCGCCCTATTTTTATTATTTTTTTAAAAGATTTTATTTATTTGACAGAGAGAGACACAGCGAGAGAGGGAACACAAGCAGGGGGAGGGTCAGAGGGAGAAGCAGGCTCCCCGCCGAGCAGGGAGCCCGATGCGGGACTCGATCCCGGGACTCCAGGATCATGACCTGAGCCGAAGGCAGCCGCTCAACCAACTGAGCCACCCAGGCGCCCTCTAAAGAACATTCTTAATGGGAAAGCAGGTGCACAGTGAGGCTTTAATGATGGTCCTGAAAGAAGCAACGAAGGGAAGAGCATCCCGGCCCGTGGCGGTGGGGGCGGGGGAGGGGCACGGAGCTCTGCAGCAGTGGTGGCTTCTCGGGGCCTTGCAGGCACGGCGTGTCCGTGGCCACGCCAGCATGGCCGCCCTGAGCCCTGCGCTTCTGCCCCTGTGAGAGCTGCTGTGGGAGCTGCAGGGTCAGGCCTTCTCCAGGCCGCCTGGGCCCTTCCCCGTGGACAGCGCACTCGACCTCTCCGTCCTCGGCAGCGAGCCTGCCGGGGGGTCCGGCTGTGCGTAGCCCACACAGGTGGGGTGTCAGCAGTTGTCCGGGAGCTCACAGCCGATGAGCCTCCAGGGGCCTGGGGGCCACGCTGTGTGTGGTGTGGGGGACCTGCTGTCCCGGCCCCCACCCCAGCCATGCCGGCTCATGCCCTCCATGCTCCCTGCCGTTTCAGAGCAGACCTACTGTGACCGCCTGGTCCAGGACACACCTTTCCTAATGGGCCAGGGAAGCCTCAGTGAGCAGCAGGTGGACAGGATTGTCCTCCAGCTGAATCGTTACTACCCTCAGATCCTCAGCAACAAGGATGCAGAGAAGGTAATGGGGAGGGGGCTGGCATGTCTCCCGTGGGTCCCTTCCCCCCGGGGCTGGGAGGAAGCAGGGTTGGGGGCAGGACAGGACAGCTCAGAGGTGAAAGCCCAGCGCCTCGCAGTGATGTTGGGCCCAGAACATTAGTTCTGCGAGCCTCAGTCTCTTCCTGTGTCATCGGGGCCTGCTGGCAGCCCTCCAGAGGTGCCAGGAGCACCCCAGGAGACAGGACAGTGTGCCCCCACGCATGACAGGCCTGGGGGTGGCGTGGGGAGTGGGGGAGGAGCGGGGCTGCTGGCCAGGCTCCACCCCAGTTCCACACGGCTTTGCTCCTGCCTCTTACAGAGGTTCAAAAGTGAACAAACATTTGGGGAAACCAAGGGAGAGTGGTGCACCTTGCGTGTGCTGCCCTTTCTCTGCTCCCCCCTCAGCGCCAGGGCTTCGGGGTGCGGGGCTCCCCCCCAGCTGGGTGGCCGACTGAGCCCTGCTCTTGGGGCTGCAGCTCCCGCTGCTAGTGCAGGGCTGTCCACGGGGTTTGGGGCCTCTCCTGGGGACAGCCGAAATCCAGCTGGGCCCTGCTACTGGCTCAGAAGCTTAAGTTATAAACGTATGCAGTAAGTTAAAAAGCAGGGGTAAAATTTATCCCTTACTATCGTAATTAAGTCTAATATATTGTGTACAGATTTGAATTTGAAAAGTTTCAGACGTTTATACAAAAAAAGGAGACTCCTGCATATACACACCCACAGTATTCCGTTCCTCATAGTTTCCGTGGCTCCTGCCGAATGCTTGTCTTTGCCTTTGCAGTTTCTGGTTCAATTCTGGTTCCAAGTGGAATGGTATGCTGCCACCAGGTGGCAGCACCAGGCCACCGCTTCTGGGTTCCAGGGATCCAAGCAAGAGCCCAGTTCACTGACCTTTAGAATTTCTAATTTCTCCATCAAACACATCAAAAGAGCTTGTTCTTATTTTTTATTTTTTTTAAAGATTTTATTTATTTGTCAGAGAGAAAGGGAGAGAGCACAAAGCAGGGGAAGCAGCAGGCAGAGGGAGCAGCAGACTCCCCAATGAGCAGGGAGCCCGACGTGGGGCTTGATCCCAGGACCCTGAGCCGAAGGCAGACGCTTAACCGACTGAGCCACCCAGGCGCCCCTTAACCCTTGGTTTTTAAAAACTTGAATCACATTCCTGTAGACTGTAAACTACTGGAAGTTATCACTCACGCCATCACCTCACTGATTCCCTGTAGCGACCCTACCGTTTGTTTATTATATCCTTTTTACAACTGAGGAAGCAGAGTCGTAGTGGGGGAAGTGACTTGCCAAAGTCACACAGCAAGCCATCGGCTTCTGACAGTTGGAATAATGTCGCCACTGTCCTCCTTGATGCCGTCTGGCCTCCACAGTGGAGGGAGTGCAGGGACCATGACTGTGCTGTGACCGCAGCGTGGGTGGGCTGTGGCCCTGGGTGGTCTGGGGCGGTCAGTAGCTGCCTCCTTTGAGTGTCCTGCCCTTGAGCCTGAGCTTCCCTTGCACCCCTTCCACCCCCAGTTCCGGAACCCCAAGGCGTCCCTGCGCGTGCGGCTCTGTGACCTCCTGGGCCATCTGCAGCGGAGCGGCGAGCGGGACTGCCAGGAGTTCTACCGGGCCCTGTACATCCACGCCCAGCTACTGCACAGTCGCCTGCCCAGCCGGCTCAGCCCGCGTAAGTGTGCCCGGCCCCTCACCCAAGGCCATCTGCACAGTGGCCCCCAGAGAGAGAAGGGAGTGTTTCAGATGCAGAGATCGTTGTCTCTGTCTCTCTTGGGCCAGTCTTTACACGGAAGGTAGCATCTTGTGTGCGAGGCTCTGCCCTTCTCTCTAGCCTAGCGCCCTGGGAATCCTTAGGCTTGTGTTGGAGGCGGCTCACGGCTGTACCAGGCTTGAGCCAACTGTACCCCCATGGAGAAGCCGAGGTTGCCCCCACAACCGAGGATGCCCGGGGGGATCCCTGCAGTGTGGGTGTTTTTGTAGAACAGACTCGGGCACAGATGGCTGGTCCAAGGCACGTGCGTTTGGCTTAGAGGGTCTTGCTTGAGTGCTCAGGAGACGTGTGAGTCCCGAGGGACCCTCTGCTGCTGGGTTGGGGATGGGGGAGGCGTAGGCAGGGATGGCAGCTCATTTCTGAGGCCTCTGTGCCCTGGTCCCCTGGAGGAGGGGCTGCTGTCCCTCAATCCTCTGATCTGAAGCTGGAGGCCTGAGGGACAGGGTGGCTCACCCGCTCACCCCAGGATGCTCAGCTGGGACCCAGGGCTGGTGTCCCTGACCTGAGGGCGGGCGGCAGGACTGGGCCCTGAGCTCTGGCCCAGGACCAGCACATCATACCAGCCACTGGGGGGCCCCACAGCCTGACTGGGAGTCACGTACCTTCCAGGCTCTTGGGCCATCAGCAGGTGGCTGGTTGGGGAGTTCTGGGGAGAACACGCTCCCTGCCCTCATGTGGACATCAGACTTGGGACAGGCGGGTGTTCATGCTGCGTTTGTTGTCTGCATCTGCAGGGAACAATGGCCCCCACCCCATGGCCCTCAGGGTCTCAGGAAGTGGACAGAAGGAAACCCAAAACTCAGGGTTCCATGAGGCTGGTCCCAGGGTCCCCTCTCTGGTGCTGACTCCCCCAAGCCCAGCCCAGAAGGCTGGGTGCCCATACAGCCTGGTTCCGCCCAGCCTGGGGGCCCCCAGGGTTGGGGAGAAGAAGCCTGAGCAGGCCCTTGGTTTCCTGCGGGCGGGGCAACCCCCTTCCTCTGGCCCGCTCACCACTAACCGAGCCCTGTGATTTTGTTTCCAGAGAACTCAGATTGCACAGAGCTAGACTCAGGCACCGTGGGCCGCGAGCTCAGTGACAGGGGTAACCGCCTCCGCGACCCCCACCCCATCCCCCCCCAGGGTTCCGTCTCTGCCTCAGGGGCTGCTCCTTTCCAAGTCAGGCTTGGTCCTGGCTTCCCATTGCACGGGCCCCAGGGTGCTTGCTGGGGCGCCCCGTCCTCCAGGCTCAGCCAGCCACTTGCTCATGTACCCCCTTTCTCCCCAGGGCCCGTGGCCTTCCTGGCCTGCCTCGGCCTGGCCGCGGGGCTGGCGCTCCTCGTCTACTGCGGCCCTCCAGGTGGGTGCTGCCTGGCCAGGCCCGAGCACCGAGTCCCCTGGCCTCCCTGTGCCTCAGTTTCCTTGCACATACAGTGGGACAGTGGCAGGGCCCACCTTGCAGGGCACAGGAAGAAGAGGGAATGTGGGGCCCCGGTTCTCAAGCCCTCCACCCCCGGGGGGGCAGGGAATGACAGCCCCTGATGGGAGGCGGGGCGCAGCTGGGCTCTGGGGTTAGAAAGCCCCGTCCCGTGTGTGGCCTGGAGCAGACACCCACCTCTGGCCCCTCCACAGCTCAGCCCTGACAAATGGACGGGAGGCCCGTGGCCCAGCGTGGCAGCTGCCGTCCCTTTCCTGCCACACCGGGCCTGTGGAAGCCGTGCGTGGGGAGGCAGCGCCGGGCAGACCTGCTTGGCAGGGACACCCCATGTCCCTCGGCTGTGGGGCTTGGTGATGCATGGGGCTGAGAACGGTGGTGGCGGTTTCTGAGACCACCTTGTCTTCCAGACCCCAAGGTGCTGCCGGGGGCCCGGCGTGTCCTGGGCTTCTCCCCCATCATTGTCGACAGGCACGTCAGCCGCTTCCTGCTGGCCTTCCTCACAGACGACCTGGGAAGGCTCTGACGCCCCCGCCCGCCCGCCTGGGGGCCTGCCGCTTCTTTTCTAAATGCTTGTTTTTCACTATTTGTACTTTTTTAAGAAAGTTACCTTCACCTGACAAAGGTACTCAACAATATTAAATGTTGGAGTCTTGTCCTTTTTCTCAGGAGTGTTTTCTAGATGATTCTGACCCTGAGGGCACCTGCTGTCCCACAAGCAGCCTGGGGCCCAGGTCCTACTCAGGCTGCCCTCCCAGCCCCTGCTGCCCTCAGCGCCCACCCCCACACACCCCCCGCCTCACCGTCTCCGCCACGTGTTCCCTGCTCTCCCTCCACTACCCCTTCCCACAGCTTCCCTCCAGGGCACGCCCCTCCCACATCGATCCCCTCTGCCGTCCCTGCTTGGTGTGTCATGTGCCCCCACACCCGTCCCTGCCCATACCCTGGCCCTTCCCAGCCACCAGCCCCAGCCCAGGTAGGAAGGCTGGGTGGGGGCACTGCCCTGGGACGCCAGGGGCACCAGCCGCATACCCCAAGAAGCCCCAGTGCCCACGTGTGTTCGCTTCCTTCCACCCAGTGGTCCCAGCATGTGGGGGCTGCACCCCTCCTTTCCTGAAGAGGAAACAGAGGTTACTTGGCCAGGAGAAGGGGGACCCAGCATGTGAGGTGGTCCAAGCTTCACCACTGTCCTCATTCCCTTTCCATGGTGTGTCCCCATCCAGTCACCAGAGTGGACACCCAGGTCCTGGGCCCTGCCTGGCCTTGCTAGCCCCTGTCCTGGGAATGGAGCCCCTCCCCACTGGGAGGTGAGGACCTGGGCTTAGCGGGTCTGGGGTGGGTCTGATGGCTACAACTACAGTCAGGGCCCGGAAATGAGCACAAGATCTTGTCCCAGATTGCAGGCGGAGACTGGGAGTAAAGCAGTCCACAGAACCTACTAGAACTTTTAGAGATGAAAAACGTCATTGTGCCATCTGAGGCCCTGGCCTCTGGCTCATCGTCTCACCTGCCAGCCTCAGGCTCAGGATCCCAATGTGGAAACTTCCCTCGTGGACACGGGAGGGTAAGTGTGCAGGTTCAAGAGGGCCTGGTGCCCCTCCTGTGGCATCCAGCAGCACGGTCCTGAGGGCCCTGTAAGCCCACCAAGTCGCCAGTGCCGGGCCGTGCGTGCCGCCCGCCTGAAGCAGGAGCTCACGGCACCGCATCCCTCCGGGCACCGCCATTTTCATTACAGCCGCCAAGATGGGGCTTCCACCTGCCCTCCTCGCACACACACACACTCACAGACACACGAGCAGGCTGGCCGCCCGCGGTCCCTCTCCCAGTTGCCTCCCCGCCAGCTCCTCCCCCGACAGCCTCCTTTTGGGGAAACAGAAGCATATTTGTCAACCCAAGAATCACCATGAGTTTCGGTTTCCACGGGAGGTTTCCGGAGATGCCAGGGCTGGCCACCTCCAGGAATGACAGCGCTCCCAGCTCTCGGGGTGGCAGGGCACGGGCCCGAGGAAGCAGCTCCAGGGCATGGGGTCCCACCCCCACGCGGCCGGCTCAGGGCCGAATTCACTCACTCCCGTGCCCAGGCGGACAAGTGAGGGCCAGGGCGCGGGAGAGCTGGGCAGCGGCCCCTGGCACGCCTGGCTGCCGCGGGCCCGCGTGGCCTCCCGCTCGCCACCGCTTGTGCTGCAGGCCCTGGTGCGGCCCCAAAGGCGGAGCTGCAGTTGCCCATGTGTATCAGGGAAGCGGGTCTCGGACAGCACTGCTCAGTTAAGTGCTGTTCGCCAGAACTCTGTCCGTGAATTTACCAGGTTGTGGGAAGGTGCATCAGGCGCATGGTTCTCTCTGGGACACCCCGTCGGGTGGAGCAAGCACGGTTGCTTGTACTCGGCCGTGAGGACGCAAGGGCCACCCTGAGCCGCTGGGCTGAATGGAGCCCACAGCTTTGCCCCACACGGAGGTCCTCCTGCCCTTGCTCAGGGCCCAGGTGAGGGACCTGCGAGCCTGCCCATTCCCCAGCGGTCCCCCTTCTGGGGCCTGACCGGGGCTGGAGAGACGTACTGCATTTCAGATCCCCTGCAGCCAGGTCCCCATGTGAACGGCTCCCATCACTGCGGAGGCTGGACTGGAGGCCGCCTTCCCACTGGCCTGCCACACCAGCGGCCGGGTCCCTGCACCCGCTCTGGACTCAGGCTCGGGGTGGCCGAGGTTCTGGGGGCCAGCAGACCCCTGAGGCTCAGCCAGGCATGTCTTGCCTGGTCTGCAGCCACTCCACCCATCATGAGGGGCCGAGATGCCAATTCCCAGGGTAAATTTCTTCCCGGCAGGAGCCCTGGGGTGTTCTCCATGTTTGTCCCACTCTCTGAGACACAGCTAGGAAAAGGTGACAGACACACGCTGCTGAAGGTGACAGAGACACCTGGGTAAAGGTGCTGGATGCTCCCAGGTCAAGACACGCAGGTAAGAGTAAATTAGGCCACTGTGGGAAGGTTCAAGCACAGCTGGCCCCCAGGAGGTGAAGAGAGTTTCCCGGAGTGAAGTTTTACCTGAGCTGGTAACACCTGCCTGTTCGGAACATTTGTGCCTCTCCAAAACCCACGATATTGAAACCTAACCCCCAAGGTGATGGTGGTAGCAGGTAGGGCCTTTGGGGATAATTAGACCGTGAGGGTGGAACCCAAGATGGGATTAGTGACCTTATAAAAGAGACTCCAGAGAGCCTGTCATGTGAGGAGAGTGGGAAGAGGAAGCCGGTTCTCACCACACACCAAATCTGCTGATGTCGTGATCTCAGACTCCCAACGTCCTGAAGTAAATGTCCGTGTGGAGAAGCCACCCAAACCAAGACAACGCCTTTGAAGAAACATCCCAGAGACAGGCCCAGCAGGCCAGTGGCGGGGAAGGTCCTGCTGCTGTCTGCCCCCTGAGACCTGTAAGGCCTCCTCCACTCCTTCGGGGCCCGTGGTGGGGTCCCTTCCCCTGAGCAAGGGGTGGTCAGTGCCTGTCCCAGGTCTCCGGGCCCAGCTGGTGAGCTGGGGTGGTCCATCGGGGCATGAAAGGCACCACAGGTCACAAACTCCCCTGCTCCCCCTGCCCCAGCTGCTCTAGGCCCTCACCATTTGTCCCTGTATCCTCACCTCCACACCTCTACAACTGGAACCATTCATGGTCCATGCCTGAGCACCTTTCACGTGCTGTGTCCACAGCTGGAACGTTCTTTCCTAAAACCCCACGGATTTAACTTTCAGATTTTGGTAAAATGTTACCTCCTCCAGGAAGCCCTTCCAAATACTACAGTAACAAGAATAGGTCCTCATCCTGGTTACGATAGTACTGGGATCCGTTTGCGCCTCGAGGAGTGCAGGAGCTGGGAGAGGCTGCCTGGGGTGGGGAATGGTTCCCAAGATTAGATACGTGACAGAAGTGTGAGGATGGTTAAGGAGAGTGAAATGACATGTGAGGAGGTGTGAGGAGGGTGTGTGGAGGTGTGAAGAAGTGTGAGGTGATAGGACGGGGTGTGAGGGGGTGTGAGGAGTATATGAGGAGGTGCAAGGAGGGTGTAGGAGGTGTGAGGAGGATGTGAAGAGGTGTGTGGGGGGTGTGAGGAGTATGTGAGGAGGGTTGAGGAAGTTGTCAGGTGGTGTGAGGAGGTGAAAGGAGGGTGTGAGGAGACATGAAGAGCATATGAGGGGGTGTGAGGGGTGTGTTAGAGGTGTGAGGCGTTGGAAGCAGGTGGGAGGAGGTGTGAGGTGTGAGGGGGTGTGAGGAGATTGAAGATGTGAGGAGGTAGAGGAGGGTGTGAGGAGGTTGAGGAGGTTGAAGATGTGAAGAGGTAGAGGAGGGTGAGAGGAGGTGTGAGGTGTGTGAGGAGTATATGAGGAGGTGTGAGGAGGTTGAGGTGAGGAGGTGGAGAAGAGTGTAGAAGGTTGAGGAGGACGTGCGGAGGTGTGAGGAGGGTGTGATGGAGAGTGTTGGTGAAGAAGGGGTCTCCTGGTGGAAGGATTTGGGGCTCTAGATGCCTTTGCCTTGGGCCATGTGGTTAGGGCCATGTGGTTAGGGCCGGGTGAGGACACAGCCTGGTGTTTGTGGAGCAGGAAATGGCAGCTGCATCTTGCACAACACCGCGCTCCCTTCCGGGAGAGGGTGGTGCTGACTGCAGGTGCAGTGTCGGGGTGAAGGTGCTGACACTGCTGGATCCGGGGTTGTCATCTCCAGTTCCCCTGGGTCAGCGTTCTTTGATGGGCTCAGAAGGGTCCTGTTTTCCCCTTGCCCCCCCAAAGCTCTGTTCAACACCAGGCCTGACAGGCCCCTAGATTAGCCTCCTGCGGGATGGGCCCTGGGACCCACTGTCACGGAGATGGGATGAAGGTCCCTCAGCACCAGCCAGGTGGCAGCTGGGACCCTGATTCTTATGTCACCTGCTGAGGGGCTGGGCTGCATCTGGGGGGTACTGCTGCCCTGGGGCAGCTTCCTCAGGCCCCACAGACATCCCCTTACATCAATACTTGAGAGAGAGAGAAAAAAAACATCAAAACCTTCAGCTCCCTGATTTTTAAAAGTAATGCCTGGAGAAAAGCGGAATTCAATTCAATTCAGGTCAGGTGGGAGAGGAAGCACCTGAGCGAGGGAGGAAGGCAATGGCGGGTGGCCGCCGGTGTGGGGAGGAGCCAACAGCACCCGCCCGGTCCCAGCCTCACGCAGCCCCACGTCCCCGGGCCCCTGAGCTGTCCCCGTCCTTCCTCCCCTCAGGTCAGTGGCGCCAGGGCCTTGAAGGGTGGACAGGGGGAGGAGCGCCAGGGACGGGGACCCGCCCGCTGAGTAGACCCAGAAGGTTCCTGGGAGAGACGGCGGGCGGCCTTGGCCTACAGCACAGAGCTGCTTCCTCACGTGGGGACGCTGCCCGTGCGGCCTGGGGATGACCCGTCCACCCCTACCATCTGTCACCTACCCTCTACCGCTCACCTACCAACATCCATCAGCTCTCTCCAGGCAAGCACACCCCTCCGCTCGCTCCCCCGGGCGGCCCTCCATCTCCTGGCCCCTCAAGCCCCTCCGAAGCTCGCAGGGCCTCACCGTCCACCCCCGCCCCCCACCCCCCGCAGGGCTCTGTTGGCCCCAGTTTTCTGACGCACACCCAGGGCCTGGCTCAGGTGGACGAGTGAGTGGGTCTGCAGAAGACATTTACTGACCGCCAACTGTGTGCCAGACATGGGACCAAGGACACAGGTGGTGGTGTCGACCCTCAGGAGCATGGCAGGTAGGACCCTCCTTCTCTGGGGGCAGCCCTGGTCTTGAGCCAGGCATGGCAGGGCTGGGCAGGGCTCAGACATGGGCCTGGGGGTACGCCGCGGATGCTGACGCCAGTCCATGGCACCAAAGGCAGAGTAAACCCAAATGGCCTGGGGTGACAGTGAACAGTGGAGAGGGTCGGGAGGACCTCAGAGCTGAGCCTGGCCCTGGATTCCGGCCCACATGCCAAGGTCCTGAGATGGAAACACATCTGAAGGGTCAGGGGGCCGGAGTGGCTGCCAAGGCTTGGGTCTGGGAGCTGGTGGGTGGGGGTGGGGGGCACCTGGGGACAGTGGACTCTCGGGTCTGGGACGCACAGACCCGCCCACCATCTCTCTGTCCCCTGTGAACGCCAGCCTGGCTTGGTGACCCCCGGGGCTCCGTCCAGTCATCTGGGGTTCACCCCTCTGCGTGTGCTGACTTACTTCCTGTGCTGGCCAAAGAAAGAGCTAGGCCATCTGTTGGCCATGTCCCTGGCGCTCCCCATGTGACTACTGGCCAGCCCACATCCCCGGCCACAGGCCACCGTGGGCAACCCCAGGGGTGTGGTGCAGGGCGGCCTCCACCTGTGTCAGACCCTGGGCAGGACTGGGCCAGGGGACCAGGCTGCCCGGACACGTGGGGGTGGCCGAGGGAGAGAGGGGCAAGGGAGACAGGGTGGGCTGACAGGGGGCCAGGTTGTGGGGATAGGTCACAGATGTGAGCCTGGCCCCCCGCCCCCCCCGCTTTCTGTCAGAAGCCAAGTCAATGAAGGGGAGACATGCTTACAGAAGCCAGCAGCTGGAGGGTGGGCCAAGCTCCACCCCCAGGGCCACGCCCGAGTCTGAGACCTTTGCGCCACCAGACCCCAGGGCCGGCCACCGTGCAGCCCTGCATCTGCCCCTGCTCAGTGGGGCTCATGCTCGTCAGCCCCACTGGAGACATGTGTCCACCCTCTGCCCACCTGCTCCTCATGCTTCTTCACGGACCTTGTCCCACACATGGATCACCTTTACAAACCCTCTTTCTGGGACTTGGAGACGCTCGCCAGAGCAGAGGGCTGCCCTCGGGCCCATGCTGTCCAGCACTTCTCCACCTTGTTTCATCCGTTTCCCCAAGCTTTTTCTTGGAGTGTTTTGTTTGATTCTTTTGAGTGGGGGGAGGGGCAGAGAGAGAGGGAGAGAGACAAATCCCAAGCAGACTCCGTGCCCAGTGTGGAGCCTGCCACGGGGCTCGATCCCACGACCCTGAGACCATGACCTGAGCCGAAATCAAGAGTTGGATGCTCAGATGACTGAGCCTCCCAGGCGCCCCTTTCCTGGAGTGTCTTAAAGCAAAGCCGGGCCCATCTTACCCACAAGCACTTCTGTTTATTGATCACGTGTGGGAGCTGACCAGGGGTCACCTGAGCATTTTAAGGAACGGGGTGTTGGAGCTGCTCTAGGCTCAGATGGCGGAAGGGCCTTGGACCTGGAAGGTTCCCCACCCAGAGGACCAGGTGAGGGTGTTCCACATCAAGAATGTGAGGGGTGGGGCCAGTGGGGGTCAGGAAAGAGGGGCCAAGGGGGCAGAGAGCAAGGGCTCAGCCCCTGGAGGTTGCAGGGGCGGACTGAGAGAGCAGGGGGTTCCAGCCAGGGAGGGGACTCTTGGGACAGGCCTTTGCTGGTGTCCGCCCAGCACCGTACCCCTAGGCCTGACCAGCAGCGCTGGGCACCCTACATGGGCCAGGGCTGTGGGTGCAGAGGGGAGACCCATGGGCATGCAGACTGGAGGAAACCTGAGTGCCGTACCTTTCCATGAGGTCAGGGGCTGTGGGCCGCGAGCCCTGAGGACACGTGGGGGTGACATCTGGCTGCTCCCCAAGGTCATCCTGCACACTGTCCTTCCCCCGACCTCCTCAGAGGAGGGTCCAGGTCTTGGCTTCTGACCCCAAAAGCCACCAAAGTTGATGGGGGACCCGTGGACTCCCTGTGGCCGTGACTCAGCACCTGGGGCCAGTCCTCCTGAACGTGCCCCCTGCGCCCTGCAGACAGAGCCGGGGTGGGGTATGCAGGGTTTACCCCGCTCTACGAGACCGCGGCTGCCTGACAACGCACACACAGGTCTGCAGTGTAGACCAGAGTGCAGGATCAGGCTGGTTTTCTGACCTGGTCATGGTGTGTGGTCCCTCACGGGAGCCACGGCCACCCTGGAGAATCTGTGTCCCGCCAGCTCCAGGGCTGCAGGCCGTGGCTGCCCCTCGCGGAGCGAACAAGGACGCGCGGTGCCTCCTGGGGCTTCAGGAGGAGCCATTTCTGCAGCTCCAATGTGCATCTCCATCAAAAAAGGATGCCGGGCACCGGAGCTTCAGGAGCCCGGTTTCTGCCTCAAAACCGTGCCCTGACATGCCAGACGCCAAGTTGCTGCGTGAGCCCTCGGTCCCTGAGAAGGCACCCGTGGCTGGGCCTGCGCCACCACGACGGGCCCGGCAGGGTGGGGAGGCCCTCACAGGCTGGGGGCCTGGGGACAGAATGCAGGGCCAGGCCTGAGGGGAGGAGGCGCGTCAGCTTTATTGGTCGTCGGTGCTTAGAAATGTGGGGGCTCGGGGCCCTGCTGGTGGGAGGTGCGCGCAGGGCCTGTGGCCAGCTGGGGCCAGCAGTCCCGCGTCCTGGGTCGGGAAGCACAGACGCCCCGGGCCCCCAGCGTGGGGCCGCGAAGCCCAGATGCTCGTTGTGCTGGTAGAGGTAGGGGTCTCCTTGTCCCTCTGGATACGTCCTGGGACCAAGGCCGACAGGGGCCCCTCGCTCCCATCCTTGGGCTGCTGCGTGTCCGGGTGGCCACGACCCTTCCCCACTTCTGTCCCCTGGGCCACGCTCCGGGAGGAGGGGCAGCCGAGGACAGAGCAGGGCCCGCGTTGGCCTGGGGTGGCCTAGCCACGGGCGGCTCGTCCCAGGACACAGTCTAGTGGGGCCCGCCTGGGCTCTAGCGGTTGCCGGGAGTGCCCCCCATAGGAAGGTGGGCCTCGAGGGGGAGGTGGCTCCGGGATCTGGGTGGCTGTGGCCGGGTGCGATCCGGGGACATCTGCCAAGAAGGGAGAGGAGGGGTGTGAGGGCCTCCAGTCCCGCTCTGGCGGCCAGACTCGAGCCCCGAGGCCACGACGACTCCAGAGGCAGAAGGACCTGATTCTGACCTGGGCAAGCCTCAGTTTCCCTGGTCGGGTCACTGTCAGGATTTAAAGGGGGGCCTTGGAGAGCAGAGGCCAGTGGGCTGATGATCAGGGAGGGTTAGGACTGCATCTGGGGCACAGCAGGCAATTAATAAATGGCTTGGTCACCATGCCCCGAGCAAGGGAGCAGGCTGGCATCTGGAAGGTTCCACAGGGGTCGGACTTGACAATAAACCAGGGCCAGCAGCCAGGCAGTGAGTGGGACCCCAGGTGGGGCCGACGGCCACGGTGTGGGCAGGCCACGGGCCAGGCCATGTGCCGGCCCTGCTGAGGGTCCCACCTCATCATTTGCCAGCCACTCTGCCGGGGTGGGGGTGCTGGTGGGCAGACGTCTAGCAGTGCCCACCCTTTCTCTGGGGCAGGCCCAAGGCCGGATGCACCTGTGGTGAGCAGCCCGGGCCAGGGCCCCAGATGCAGGACACCGGACACGCGCCGGACCTGCTGACCTTCTGCATGGGCCCTTGAGACCCCCGGGGGTCACCCAGCCTCCCTGAGACTCCTGCTCCAAGTAGGTGACCTTGGGTGGGTGCTCACCTCTCTGAGCAAGGACAGGGGACGAGCATGGGGGGCACACGGCCAGGCGCGCCCCCCCTGTGAGGCCCAGACAGGACAGACACTGGGCACAAAGTCTGCTCGTGGTGGACAGCGGGGGCTGTGCCTTCTGGCTCACCTGAACCCTACTGCCGCGGAGCTACGTCCATCATGGGCTTCTGGACGCCGAAGGCAGTGATGAAGATATTGACCACGACAATGATGAAAACCAGGCCGGTGGCCAGGTTGTTGAGGAAGTCCAGCTTGGCATGCTTGGCAGGATTGTTGAGGTCGTACCTGACTGCGGGCACAAGGGAGCAGACGCTGCATGGGGGCCCCACAGCCCCTGGGCCCGCTGCCTCGTTCGGGGTGAGATCTGGGCCTGTGGCCTCGGCCCCGCAGCCCTGCTTCCTCCAGCACGGAGCTCAGGGCGGCCCGGCGCCGGTGCCGGAGCCGAAGGACCAGCCTGGGGCGCAGGTCCGGACTGTAAGGGACAACGCACTGCGTGCTCACAGGGAAGCCCCTCTCTGAGTGCCCGTGTGCGGTGTCTAGCGAGCTTCACGCCTACCCAAGGCCCTGTCCTCATGCCTACGTTATGGGTGGGGGAACTGAGGCCTGCGGGGTCAAGTACCTGCCCCGGGTCACACAGCCAGCAGTAGAGGTGAGCCCAGACCCTCAGCTCGGGGGCAGGACCACCATCCAGTCCCTGGAGACCCCTGGAGGGTTACGTTTTCCTACATCCTCAGCTTGGGTGGGTGGAAGGACAGAGACATGGGGGGCCCTCTGAGGAGCCACGTCCTGACCGCATGGCTGAGTGGGGCCTGTCAGGTGGTGAGCACCCTGTCCCGAGGGGTATACAAGCAGAACCAGCAGATCATGGGCGGGGCCGCCCCAGGGCCCTCCCCCCCCAGCCCAGGCTCACACCAAGGAAAATGAGCAGCACGCCCACGCCAATCTGCAGCACGAGGGAGATGGAGATGAGGACCACCAGGGGGACGAAGAAGGCGAAGGCGGGGCCCTGCTCGATGACGGCCTTCAGTTGGGAGGCGTTGGCCATCAGCAGGGCGATGTCCAGCATGCTCTCAGCTGCGCTCTTCTTGTTGGCGTAATGGTTCACGTTGATGGGCCGGTTCCGGCCCCAGCGGGATGGCTGCAGGAAAGGGGTAGTCAGCCTGGGACCAGCAGGGGTGTGGGGCTTGGCGGGGCCTGCAGGACCCACTCCAGGAATCAGGTCCTGGGGGAGCCAGGGCCTCAGCACACACACTGGTTTGCGATGAGAATGCCTCCGTCCTGCCCGGGGTGGGGCCTCTGGTGCCTTCCCTGCGCCCCGCGGTGCCCCCGCCTGCCTCCCTCCGCCTGGCTGCTGGCTGCAGGCCACGTCCCGCTGGGACCCTCCGGGTCCCCGCGCGCTCACCCGGACGCCTACCAAAGCGGGGCTACGGTTGAACTTAGCTGCTTCTTCAATTTTTATTTTTACAAACAATTTTGAACCACGTCACTGAGGTGTGATCCCCACAGGAAAAGCTGTGCACGAGAAACGTAAACACCTGGAGCCTTGGGAGCTGAGCGCACCCAGGCCACCCCTCCGGAAGCCGCCTCCTGCCCTTTACTTAGTATCTGTGATGAGGTTTGTCCCCACAGTGCCTCGGGCATGCGGCGCGGGGCGCTTCCTGTCCAGGCTTCCCCAAGCCTCTGCCTGGGAACGGGGCGGGCCTCAGAGCCAGGTCGCAGGCCACTCCTCACGCCCTCCATGCCCCGCCCAGAGGTCACCGCCTCCAGGAAGCCCCTCTCTCCTGGGCTGCAAGGCGGGGGAGGGGGGAGGCGGGAGAAGGCCCCCCTCCCTCAGTAGGCCTCCCCCAGCTGCCGCTGGCTGGCCCCTCCCCAGGCCCCCAGGACAAGCCCACACCCCTCAGCCCCGGCCCCTTGTCCACAGGCCCAGCACTGTGGCCTCCTGGGGCACTCGGGAGCTCGTGTTTCTGTACTCATGAAAGATGCAGGCCTGGGGGGCAGGCTGCCAGGGAGGGGCCGAACCAGCAAGCGAGAGGCCCCTCCACTTTCCGCAGCTGGAAATCGCACCCTGGAAAATCCCGAACTCCAGGAGCGGGGGCGGGAGGGGGCTCGCTCTGGCGGCCTGTCTTGTTAAACATAAATGTAATCTGGAATAACATGCCCAGGAGGAAGGGACACTGGGTGAGCCGAACAGCGGGCGTGGGACCTGCCCTGCCTTCCCTCAGCACCAGCGGCTAAGTAGCAAATCCACTGGGTTTAAAATTCCAGACCCAAGCCCCACAGGGAAAGCGGCTCCTTGGACCCAACCCCCAGCACTGCTTCCGGAATATTCCACCCAGGGCTCTTCCCCCCAAGCCTCCAGCAGCACCGCAGCTGGGTGGGCCCCACCCCAGGCCTCACCCATCAGGGCACAGCGGCTCCTCCCCAGGGTCTGGGCGCAGGCAGCCCACCGCCTAGGGGCCTGGGCTCCCACAGCACCAGGCTGTCCCCCAGGTCTGCGCTTGCAAAGCTGCTGGGCTGGCCACGCCTCGTCCCATGAGCGCTCCTCTGAGGGGCGGGTGTGCTGCGCTGGGCACGCGCTCTAAGTTCCACAAACCAGAAGCGCCCAAGCAGCTTCCCTCAAGGCCACCGCAGCGCTCATCCGGTCCCCAGTCCCGGGGAAAAGAGCCAGCCGCACACACGCGGACACACGGGCACGGGTACATGTGCACAGTCATACGAACAAACACATAACCACGCAAGCACATACACACATGCATGAGCAAGCACACACCTGCATACGTGCGCATATGCCAGATGCACGCCTGCACGTGCACACACACACGCATGTGCACACAGACACGGACACACACAGGTGCACATGCACACGCACGCATGCACACATACACCAGACGCACGCCTGCACGTGCACACAGACACAGACACGCACGTGCACACACAGACACGCACGCACGCATACACCAGATGCACGCCTGCACGTGCACACACAGACATGCACGTGCACACACAGACACGCACGTGCATAGACACGCACGCATACACCAGATGCACACCTGCACTTGCACACAGACACAGACATGCACGTGCACACACAGACACGCACGCACACACGAGATGCACACCTGCACGTGCACAGACACAGACACGCACGTGCACACAGACACTGACACGCACACACGCATACACCAGATGCACACCTGCATGTGCACACACAGACATGCACGTGCACACACAGACACGCATGCACGCATACATGAGATGCACACCTGCACGTGCACAGACACAGACACGCACGTGCACACAGACACTGACACGCACGCACGCATACACCAGATGCACACCTGCACGTGCACACAGACACAGACACGCACGTGCACAGACACAAACACGCACACACGAGATGCACACCTGCACTTGCAGACAGACACACGCACGTGCACACACAGACACGCACGCATACACCAGACGCACACCTGCACATGCACACACAGACATGCACACACGCATACACGAGATGCACACCTGCACGTGCACACAGACAGACACGCACAGATGCACGTGCACAGTGCATGCACACATACACCAGATGCACACCTGCACATGCACACACAGACACGCACGTGCACACAGACACAGACACGCATGCATGCATACACGAGATGCACACCTGCACATGCACACACAGACACGCACGTGCACACAGACACAGACACGCACAGGTGCACGTACACAGCGCACATGCGTGCATACACGAGATGCACGCCTGCACTTGCACACAGACACGCATGTGTACACAGACACAGACACGCATACATGAGATGCACGCCTGCACGTGCACAGACACACACAGGTGCACGTGCACAGCGCACGCACACATACACCAGATGCACACCTGCACTTGCACACACAGACACGCACGTGCACACACAGACACGCACACACGCATACACCAGATGCACGCCTGCACTTGCACACAGACACAGACATGCACATGCACAGACACGCACGCACGCATACACCAGATGCATGCCTGCATGTGCACACAGACATGCACGTGCACACACAGACACGCACATGCACACAGACACAGACACGCACACACGCATACACTAGATGCACGCCTGCACGTGCACAGACACAGACACACACAGGTGCACGTGCACAGCGCACGCACACATACACCAGATGCACACCTGCACTTGCACACAGACACAGACACGCACGTGCACACACAGACACGCATGCACGCATACACCAGATGCACGCCTGCACTTGCACACAGACACGCACGTGCACAGACACTCATGCACGCATACACCAGATGCATGCCTGCATGTGCACAGACACGCACGTGCACACAGACACAGACACGCACACACGCATACAGCAGATCACACCTGCACGTGCACACAGACACAGACACGCACGTGCACACACAGACACACACACGCATACACCAGATGCACGCCTGCACGTGCACACAGACATAGACACAGACATGCACACACGCATACACCAGATGCACACCTGCATGTGCACACAGACACGCACGTGCACACAGACACAGACACGCACACACACATACACCAGATGCACACCTGCACTTGCACACAGACACAGACACGCACAGGTGCGCGTGCACAGTGCACGCACACACGCACATGTAGGCTAACTGCCGGCCTCTGCGGAGGAGGAATTCCCTTCCCTTCTGAGCCCCTCTAGACCTTTGAGTCCTTTATAGACATGTGCGTTCGAATACAGAAGGACCCTCGGAGCCCTGTGTCCCCGCTCTCCTCCACCCTGGGCGCCGCTCACTATCTTGCTCATCCTTCAGCAGGGTGTCCTCCTCCGGGGCGCCCCTCCAGCCCCGTACTCACACACACTGTGGGTAAACTGAGGCTAGCACAGGAAGCACCTTGTCCAAAGCCAAGAGCAAATGAGGGCTGCACTTAGAACCCAGGCCCCAGGACTCAGAAGCCCCCTGCAGAGGGGGGTCAGGGCCAGTCTGTGGGGGCTATGCACTCAGAGGCACCCCCGGGCTCCAGCTGTGTGACCTCAGGACAGCCAGCGCCCTCTGGACCTGTCTCCCGTGTGTGCGACAGGGCCAGGAGCACGCAGCCCGTGAGGTTCCGGTGGGTCTGGCCACCTCCTCGGAGCCCCAGGGGGCACGCCAGGGCCCGGGCCACAGGCCCCTCCTGGTGCAGGGCACTTCCTGCCCACACCACCATCTGCTTCCTGTTGAATCTGTGCAGTGATAGGGGGAGCCAGCGGGAGCCCAGCCCACTCCACTCACCACAGCCTGGCCATGTGGCCTCGACAACACGCTCCCCCGCGGCTGGCCTCAGTCTTCCCATCTGTAGGCCCCGGGCCACACTCTGGGAAGCTCTGGCGCCCACAGAGCTCCCCACTAACGGAGAGGAAGCATTAACCTCCCTTTCCACAGAGCGGGGGCCCGCGGTTCAGGGGAGCTGCCCAGGGGCACAGCACAGCCCGGCAGCCCCCCGAGGATGGGCTCGGAGTGGCAGGGGGATTCTAGGGCCTGGGTGATGGCTGAGTCCCAGGGAGTCCGCGGTTCTGGGAAGCCCACCAGGGTAGGGTCAGAAGGCGGTTGGAGCCCTTGGCCTGAACTGACTGACTTCCCGGAGCCACGCTGGGAACCGCCCGCAGAGGCCTCTGCCCATGACCTGAGTAGTGCAGGGAGCAAACACCCTGGTTAATGTGTCCCCAGGGCCACGGGACTTCCCCAAACCTCAGTGGAGGTCCCAGGAGGTGGGTGAGTTCTGGGTTTTTTTCCCCCTAAAAGCCAGGAAGGCACCTTGTGGGTAAGGAGCCAGAGGAGAGCAGGGAGGCCCCCTTCTGTGGACAGAGGGCCTTGGCGTGGCTGTTCACGGGCAGCCGGCAGGGCCCAGGCCACCTAGCCCAGGGCCACTGTGCTGTGTGTCCTCAGCTCGGACTGGGAGGGGGTTGGGATCTGCTGCACCCAAGTACCCACGCACAGATTAACGGATGCTGCAGTGCAGCCCAGGCCTGGATGGGAGGAGATGGGGGTGCCCACCCCAGCATCCTGCTCCCCTAGGAGATGAGACCAGGCCAGAGCCCACTGAGCCCCTGCAGGACCCACGTGTTTTGGTTATGGATGCCCTCTGATCCTGCCTGCCCTGCCTGCCACTGACCCCAAACCCCACGTAAGAGTGTGGGACAAGAACCCCTGCCCAGAGACACCTTTGTGGTGTCAGAATGAGAGACAAAGGCCCCCACCAAATCCACGACGTCCATCAGCTGCCCGGCTAGGAGCTAGGGTGGCACTTCCACACGGACCTCTCTCTAACACCCCTGAATCCCACACCTGGGTTCTTTGCCTCAGTTCCCTCATCTGCAAGATGGGCAGATGGGACTGAATGCAGGTGTGGAGGCCCTTGGTCTGCTGGAGCACAGCCAGCCGGGGCACACAGCCTCCCAAACCAGCTGCACGGATGTGTAACCAAAAGTCCGTAACAGGAGAAAGGCCAAGCCCAGGAAATGGCCATGTGAGCTGAGCAGGACCCAGGACTCCGGATCTTGGCCCACCATGGCCCCTCTACTGGGGCACGGTGAGTACCAGTGGGAGCTTTGAAGTCCTTCCTTCTGGGAAGGGACCTGAGAACCTAGGAGGGTCTGGGTGTCCATCACCTGACCCAGCAGAGTGGGCTGGAGCCCACCGCTCAGACGCGGCGCGAAGGCCACAAGGCGCGTGCCTGCCCTGAGAGGTCTCCAGATCCACGTCAGTGTCCCAGCAGGAAGTCCTGTGGCGGGGGGGGGGGTGTTCCTGCAGCAGCTGGGCCGTGGGCTGGGCAGACCTGCTTCCTGTGGGCTCAGCACTGGCCTGCAGTGACCCCACAGCCACATCAGGGTGGCCTTTTAGAACTTGGCCAAGACCCTGCCAGTCTCGAGATCTGGGAAAGCAGAAGTGAGGAAAAGAGCGAACTTCCCGGGGCAGCTAAGCTCTGCACAGCCCACATGTGGCCCAGAAGCCACATCCCACCTTGCCCGGCTCCCTCCCTGCTGTGTCCTCAGCTGGCTGTGACGCCAGTGTCTGCCGCTGCCAGGCCAAGGCAGGTGTCTCCACGCCAAGGCGCAGCAGGCATGACACAGCCAAGGGTCATTTTCACAGTAAAACTGATGTTTACTCTTCCTCCTGCCTCCAGCCGCAAGCCCCTCCTGCAGGGAACCTGCACAGCGGGGCCTCATGAAGTCGTGGGGGCACAGGTGCGGGGGGCACCTGCGGGGTTCATCTGCTGTCGGGCTCTTCCCTGAGCCAGGCCCCCCTGGAAGGTGGGCGACCTGCCCCACTCTGGCCTACAGCGGGCATCCGGAGACTGACAGGGGCTCTCGACCTGGGCCTCCCAGTCAGTCCCCCCACCACCAGCGGTGCGCCGGGGACACAGGACCACCCTAGCCCAGCCAGCCTGCCATCCAGGGCTCCTGCCATCCAGGTCCTGCCATCTGAGGACCCCGGCAAGACTTTCTTCCCGCCCTGACCCCCGTGCAAGGAAGGCTGTGCCCGTCCACAGGGTCCCGCCACGGGGGAAGGGCTGCCCCAAAGTCCTCTCCAGGAGCGGGTCCTGTACGGCGGGCAGGACTGTGACTACTGTGTGCCCAGCACACACATTAGCCCATGCGGTCCTCACCATGTTCTCGGAGAAAGACACTGCTATCACCCTAGGTCACGGATGAGAAACTGATACAGAGTCACAGACTCAAAAACACAGCAAGGCAGGTTCTGAGGTGGGAGGCAAGGCAGAGACTGGGGAGTGGTGTAGGGGGTCCGGGCCCCAGGCAGCAGGAGCAGTGGCCTTGAGGGTGCCCACCTTCCTGGAGCCTCCCTGCCTGTGAATGGAGACCCCCCCCGCCCCCCACCACGCTGGCCCTCGGAGCCACGGAGGGGCCTGACCTCCTGTCACACGCCTCCTCCCCAGCCCTGACTTCCTTGGCGGTCCAGCCCTTGGGCCTTTCCGTCGCAGTCCTCTCTGCCGGGATGTCCTCTCCTACACTGCCATGCCACCTGCCACTCCGGTTTTGCCGTACCCAGCGCCACCGTCCCCACTGTGCAGGCCTCCCCAGTCCTTGGTTTCCCCACCACCAACCCAGGGACAAATGTCCTGTGCCACCCCAGGCTGTCAAGCTTTGCTGATGGGTCAGCACGGAGGCTGAGCTCCAGGAACCTTCCACCAAAAACAGGCAAGGATGGACAGGATTAGACAGGATTACTGCGTGGGGCCACCTGCACGCAAGAGGGCCTGCCCCTGCCCCTGGGGGAGCTCACTCACCCCACATGTTCTCCCACACTCGGGCAGCGCTGCCCCAGTCTGGTTCACGCAGCGGAGACACGGCCATCCCTGCCCCCAGCCCCAGGGGGTCAGAAAGTGAAGGAATGTTCAAAGTCAACAAGTCACCGGAGGGCCAAGCCCAGGACTGCACCACAAACAGAGGAGCTGGGGAAGTGCTGGGCCCTGGGAAGAGGGCATGACACCCCGGACAGGACCCCGGGGCGGAGGGGCGCAACCACCCCTCACGTGGGAGTCGGGACCACTGCCCCGGGGCCTGCGGTGGGGACAGGAGCGGGGGCCACAGCCGCCCCAGGCTCCTCACCGGGGCATGCAGCAGATAGTGCGGTCGCGGAGGACACGGCGGGTGACGTAACCGTCTGCCCGCTGCTGGCCTGGGGCCCGGAGGCTGGGATCCTGCGCGCCCGGGCGCGCAGCAGCGGGAGGAGATGCGGGGGCCGAACTTAGAGGCCGGCGCGGAAGGCTGGGGAAGGTGGCGCCCAGGCCCCTCCCCCGCGCGGCCCGGCGTGGGCACTTCCCGGCCGGACCCTCGCCCCTGCCGGGTGGCCGGAGCCCCGGGGCCACCGCTCGGACCGACGGCGCGGGACGCACGGGACGCACGGGGCGCGGGGACCCAGCACCCCGCCGTGCGGAAGCGGCGCGCAGCCGGCCGGCGCCCCCAGGTGCTTGGGAGGCAGCGGGCGCGGGGCCCAGAGAGGGCGGGCACCGGCCAAGATCGCACGGAGGCGCGGGCGGAGCGGGGCTTACCGAGGCGTCCGGGGAGCCGGGCGGGCCAGGGCGCAGGCCGCCGTTAAGCTCGTACTCCTCGGGGCCCGACTCCATCACGCGGCCGCCAGAGCCGCCTCACTCGGGGCCTGAGCGCCGCCCGGCCTGGGTCGCGGGGACTCGGCGGCGCGCCCGCCCCCGGCCCGCCCCCGGCCCGCCCCCGGCCCGCCCCCGGCCCGCCTCGGACTCCGCCCCGCCGCGCCCGGACTCCGCCCCCGGTAGGGGCGGGGCCCGCGGGACCCACAGGCCCCCACCCCCCTCCCGCGAGGACCCCGCGGGCGGTGCGGTCCCCCAGGCCCGCCCCCGGCCCGCCTCGGACTCCGCCCCCGGCCCGCCTCGGACTCCGCCCCCGGCCCGCCTCGGACTCCGCCCCCGGCCCGCCCCGCACTCCGCCCCCGGCCCGCCCCGCCGCGCCCGGACTCCGCCCCCGGTAGGGGCGGGGCCGCGGGACCCACAGCCCCCCCCCCCCCCCCCCTCCCGCGAGGACCCCGCGGGCGGTGCGGTCCCCCAGGCCCGCCCCCGGCCCGCCTCGGACTCCGCCCCCGGCCCGCCCCCGGCCCGCCCCGCACTCCGCCCCCGGCCCGCCCCGCCGCGCCCGGACTCCGCCCCCGGTAGGGGCGGGGCCGCGGGACCCACAGCCCCCCCTCCCTCCCGCGAGGACCCCGCGGGCGGTGCGGTCCCCCCAGGCCCGCCCCCGGCCCGCCTCGGACTCCGCCCCCGGCCCGCCTCGGACTCCGCCCCCGGCCCGCCCCGCCGCGCCCGGACTCCGCCCCCGGTAGGGGCGGGGCCGCGGGACCCACAGCCCCCCCCCCCCCCCCTCCCGCGAGGACCCCGCGGGCGGTGCGGTCCCCCAGGCCCGCCCCCGGCCCGCCTCGGACTCCGCCCCCGGCCCGCCCCCGGCCCGCCCCGCACTCCGCCCCCGGCCCGCCCCGCCGCGCCCGGACTCCGCCCCCGGTAGGGGCGGGGCCGCGGGACCCACAGGCCCTCCCCCCCCCCCTCCCGCGAGGACCCCGCGGGCGGCGCGGTCCCCCAGGCCCGGGCCTCGCGCGGGCGTTGGCACGTCCGCCCTGCCCCCGCCGTGGATACTTCTAATCCGTGAAACGAGGCCAGGAGCCAGCCTTTCCCGGGCCACCTCGCAAACTGCTGGGCGCGCCAGGAAGGCGAGCGCGCCGCTGCCACGGCGTGGGGGTTCTCCGGGGGCCGCGAAGCCGGGGCCCGGCCCGCACCCTGGGGTCCCTGACCCTGGGCCCCCCAGCCTCCGAGCCTGGCCTCGCGCACGCTGGGAGGCGGGGGGAGGCAGAGGGCCATCGCCGCGGGTTGGGCCCGCTCGGCGCCGGCCCCGCCCTGTTGGCGCAGCCTCCGGGCCCCCTGGCGGGAGGCAGGCCCGCTGCCTGGGTGGCGCCCCGTGCCCGGGCGGGCCGCGGCGGGCGTCCAGAGCGCGCGGTCCCCCAGCCTTTGGCTCAATCGGGTCCTGGTTCCCGGGGCGCTCGGCCCGACGCGGGCCACTCCCGGGCCTCCGAAGCCAGGCGGGTGCGGCGGGGCCGGGCGTTACCTCCCCGGGCTGGTTTGCGAAGATCCGGCCATGCGTCCTCGGGTTCTGACCCTGAGCTCGCAGCCAGGCCCAGCTGGTTCTCTTCCCACTTCTGCCGCGGCGTCTACTGATGTCTCCCCCCGGGAACCCGTAGTGTGCGGCGCGCACGGCCACCAGCGGCTCTGGGGCATGCCATGGGGCATGCGGCAGTCCCTCTCAGGGCCGGGCGGGGCCAGGCTGCTGGACTCTGTAACCCTGAGCCATCGTGGCTGTGTGGGCTGGGGCAGGTGGCTGGACCTGTCGGTGTCAGCTTCCCATCTGTGATGGGGGAGTGGTCTTCTTAGGCCCTGTGGGCTGATCTTTTCCCCTCCCCATAAACGGACATCAAGGAAGGTCAGCAGCAGTGCCCCAGGTCAGGCAGCAGCAAGTTAGGTCGCTGAGCTGGAGGCTTGTTCATTCACCCTGGTCAGCGCGGGATGCCTATTGTAAGCCAGGCCCTGTTCTAGACCCAGGGGCCCGCAGCTTGTGGGGCGGCCCTGCCTGGGGCCGGGTATGTGGCTTGTCGTACAGCCTTGGGAAGTGGGCTCTCCCCGCCACCTGGCAGGGGAGGAAACTGAGGCACAGCCAGGGAGAGGCCCAGGAGGATGAGCTCAGAACTCCGGGGACGGTTGTGGGCCGTCTAAGCAGCAGACGGAAGGCTCCCCCAGGTCCACGTGGACAGCAGGTGGGCACCGTGGGGCTGAGAACCCAGAGCCTGCCTTGCCCAGGGTCCTGGCCACACTCCAGGCTGAGACCTCCCCTCCCCCACCCCACGCCTCACCCCTGCTGAGAGAGCAGTTTTATAAATGAAACCGAAGGCATGGAAAACACATCACCCAGGGGATTTCTCAGGAAAAGGGATCTTCCACTAAACCGGGTCTGGGCCCTCCTGCTGGCCTTTTTCTCCTCCCTGGTGTGGGGGGCAGCATCACCCGCTGGGTGGGGGCACCGCGGGGGGCACCATCCCAGGGCACGGTGGTCCCTGAAGGAGCTGCCGGCGGCCCAGCGGGAGGCGGAGGGAACTGAAGCTCGGGGACGTGGTCAGTGCCTCCCTCCGTCCTGCTTCTGGCCCGTGAGCGGGCACTCCGCAGTGCCCTGGGGTCTGGGCAGCCCTGGGCGCGGCACCCGAGGGCAGTTCTTCTCACGGAGCCCATACCTGACTGCTGACACACAGCTGGAAACCCTGATTTTTAAATGTTAGCACCTTTCACACAGGAGCACCCCCTCACCCACCCTGGGGGTGGCGCCAGCTCCTGGAGGGGCCAGAGAGAGGGCGGCCAGGAGAGAGGGTCCTGAGGGTGCAGGGGAGGCTGGGAGGGGAGGGGTGGGGAGGGGAGAGGACCTGGGGAGTCTCAGCCCCTTCGGCAGGTGAGAGGGTCTTGGTGGGCCATGTGGGCGCTGCAGGCAGAAGGCTGGGGGCAGCACTGGGTCTGCCATCAGGAGCGTTTCTCCAGTGGGCCCCAGGGCAGCTCAGAGCTGAGGTTCACCGTCTGCTCGGTCCAGAAGGGGGAAGTCAGGAAGGATTCCGGTGTAACAATTCAGCATTTACACCTGGGTTTGTAGCCCCTCTCATTTCACCTTCCTGGGGTCAAGGTCGCGGGGACCACAGCTGGGGCTTGCCCTCCAGGCCCGCCCTCCCTGGAGTACCCTCAGGGAGGGACTTCCTGGCTCTGTTGCATCATCCTCATTTGCCGGGGATGTGTGTTTCCCAGACTGTTCCCAGCGCAGACCAAAAGGGTCTCAAATCCTCGTGCATAGACCGGCAGGGGTGGCCAAGGTGGGTTTGGGATGCTGAACTGAGCTGAGGGTCCGTGGACAAGTGATGATGGGGAGCATCCCCGGAGAGGGGGTGGGCTGGGGAGGGGTGGGCTGGCCGTGCTCCCGCAGAGAGACATGGGGACGCCCAAGCCACACATACCTCCAGACACACCTGCCCACAGCGTCTCCACAGAGCTGTGTGGCTAGGGACACACTTCTGTCTGACAGATGGGGACGCTGTGAAGGTGAAGCGTCCCAGCCCGTTGGACACCAAGGCCAGTGTCCAGCGTGTGGGAGCTGTGGAGCTTCTGCGGGCCTCCGTCACCTGGAGCAGGCCCCAGCGGTGACAACTCAACCGAGCAGTGGGACAGCTTCATGCCCCAGGTGGCCAGAGCCCAGGACACCTGAGCAACATCCCTCCTGGTGGGGAGGGACCCTGGTCTCGCCCACCCCCCAATCCCCCGGAGCTGTGTCCCCACTTACCACGGGGAGAGCGCAGTGCGTCACCGTGGGCCGGGAGGATGTGCGCGCAGACAGGCCACGTTTCCTGAACAGGAGACTTAGGCAGTCTCGGGGTCTCTGGCACCTCTGTCTCCGAGAGGCGCGGATCCCTGTGGGCAGTGTTTCCATTTTACGCGGGGAGGGGCCCGTGGGGGAAAGGTGGCCGGGCACGTCCCAGGCGCCCCAGCTGAGCAAGCCTGTGCTCGTCCAGCCCCGGTAGCTCCCGCCGCCACCAGGGAGCGGGCCGGCCCGCGCAGGCCCCCCGCCAGGGAGAGCCCCGGCAACGGGCACACCCTGGGACCGCCACACGGCCTCTGTGCGTCTGTCAGGTACTTGCAGGTACTTGCAGGGACCACGGCCCCCAGCAGATGGGGGCTCAGAGCCAGGAGGCGGGAGTTGCCACTCTACGTCCAGAGGTTAGAGGGAGACAGCCGGCCGATGAGGGGGTGCTGTGCCATCACCCCCACTTCAAAGACAAGGGAGGCGTGTGCCAAGGTCGCACAGGCATGCCCGGGCGGGGCTGGTAACGGGCTGGGTAGTGTGACGTGGGCACTCACGCAGTGTCTGCACCGCCTCCCACGGTCCCCCAGCGAGACGGGACCCGCTGAGGCCACCCAGTAAGATACAGCGAGCCCCAGAGGGCTCTGAACCCCAGAAACGGACAAAGGGAGTGGCCACCATGAGGGAGACACTGAGCTACGGCCATCCATGTTTTGGAACGTTGCTTAGCCATTAACAGAGCGTGTGGGCGGCAGGCTGGCTGGCCTGGAGGGACCCGCCCCGGACCGGAGAGAGAGCAGTGACAGGTGGCTTCCTCCTGAAGCCCCAACCCCTCCCCCCAGCAGGGTGGGGCTGACTCCGCTTGTCACCCCTGGGCATCTGTACCCAGCAAAGCCCTTGTCCTGGGCAGCCAGGTGGCAGGGTCCGTGGTCACCCTCACTGTCGGTTCTTCCCTTCTCCCTCTGTCACAGACTGCTGATTTTTAGCTCAGCAAATGGCTTCCCAGAAGAGAAGCTGCGTTTCCCGGCTCTCCTGCAGCTAGGGGTGCCTGGGGGGCTACATTCTGGCCGTGGAAGGGGGCGTGCAACATCAGGGATGGGACCTGAAATGGAGGGGTGAGCCATTCTTTATTACTTCCTCCTGTCTGCCGGGTGGAATACAGATGTAATGGCCAGAGCTCCAGCAGCCACACTGGCCCGTGAGGGGACCTTCGGCCTGGGAGTCTCATACAGCAGAGCTAAAGACAGAAGGATCCTGTGTTCCCGGTGCTTGGCTCACAGGCCTTCCCTGGGCTGCCCACCTCAAGACTTCTT